AGAAAGATTATTATGTCACAACTTATTTGTGACACAACTTATTTTCAGTGGGGAAACTGAATTCAGACAAGGATTACTATAGAGAATAGTACAACGAATCGTCTTCTTTCTGTAATAATTTAGTGAAAAGGGCAAAGCTGTTAGGGGGCAACTGAATTCAGACGTGGATTAAGAGTAATAATCAAATGAAACGTCAAAGTACACGATACAACGAATCGTCTTCTTTTATTAATAATTTAATGAAACGTGAAAGCTTCCGCGCTACGCGCGGAATGGGCCAAAATGAATACAAACAAAGATTAAGAGTAATAATTTATTGAAACGTTAAAGCTTCCGCGCTTCGCGGTAGGGGGGAAACTGAATTCATGAAGGACACGATACAACAAATCGTCTTCTTTCTCTAATAATATGATAAAATGTGAAAGCTTCCGCGCTTCGCGCAGGAATGGGCGAAAATAATTACAGACAAGGATTAAGAGTAATAATCTATTGAAACGTCAAAGCTTCCCTCGAGGGCGGGGGCGAATTGCACTCAAGACAAGGACACGATACAACGAATCGTCTTCTTTCTCTAATAATTTAATGAAACGTGAAAGCTTCCGCGCGGTAGGGGGGAAACTGAATTCATGACGTACACGATACAACGAATCTTCTTCTTTTACTAATAATTTAATGAAACGTGAAAGCTTCCGCGCTACGCGCGGAATGGGCGAAAATGAATACAGACAAAGATTAAGAGTAATAATTTATTGAAACGTTAAAACTTTATCAAACGAGGATTAAGAGTCGAGAACGGTCCAACGAATCGTCTTCTCTCTCTAATAATTTAGTGAAACGTCAAAGCTTCCGCACTTTGCATTGGGGGGGGGGAACTCCCCCTCCCTGTATCCAACCCCCTAGGGACCGCGCTTCGCGTGCTTACTACCGCCCCCTAAAATGAAATCCTGGCTACGCGCTTGAGAGGCGTGCAACTTCTACCTCTTGGTTGCTTTGATCCATTGCCGAAAATATTTTGGCACCTATCATCCCCCCAACCACGGATACAAATCGACACCCTTGACAACAACAACAAGAATGATGATATTAGCAATATTTTATTATGCACCCTTGACAACAACAACAAGAATGATGATATTAGCAATATTTTATTATGCACCCTTATACATCCCAAGCTATGGTCAATACGCCTGACAAAATATAAACAGTTTAACAAATTACATGAAGCAAACGAAATACATCACATATACCATATAAAAGCAAATATGAGCTCTGGTATGGGAATCGTATTTTGAGAGAAAGTTGCTATGATTTATTTTGGATTATTTGTACTGCAGTAGATCGGTTGTTTGCACCAGTGAAATATAGAAACAAACGCACAAAAACTTACTGGGCATCATCTTGGATAAATTATTTAAAATAACAAAAACATATTTCCACAAAGTGATCTGTTTTTAAGTACATGGTGTCGGGCCTACTTACCCGGATTTCCTTATCTTTCTATGCTCACTACTCAGCCACCAAACCTTTTCTACCAAAATTGATTGGCACTTATCACTTATTTGTTATCATTTAAACATTTAGTGTAAGTTTCGTTGAATTATATGACAATTTATTCCTATGTTTATCAGAACTCAAGTTTATCTTCAAATTCAATGAACATAAAATGATAATCTGAAAATAATTCAATGAAGTCTTAGTTTGGAATCATTACATTCCTTTATATATAAAGTTAAACAGTTTAAAAAATATTCAAATTATTTCCTCGATCCGTTAAACTGTATTTCAATATATATCAACCACGGTCTAAACATAATTTTAAAAAGTCTAAAAGCATAAATCCATACCAGAAGCAAAGTATTTATAAATTCTTTAATTATTAACAGTTTTCCACATACTCTTTACACTACTTTAAAATGAACTTAAAATGACATTCTGATAATAATTACTTATACGCCCATTATAGCATTCCCACATTCTTTAAAATGTAAAGTATAATAGTCTTTAAAAGAGTTACAGTTCTTCTTCTATCCCTTTGAAACATATATAAATCTATATGAAATGCATTCTTAACATAATTGTATGTTCATGCAGTCTAAAAAGCATAAATCCAATTCAGAAGCAAAGCATTTGTAACTTCTTTATTTAATAACAGTTTTCCACGTACTCTTTAAACTATTACTCAGTGAGCATGGAATGACAGTATGACATTTATTTGATGTACTTGCAGTTTCAAATTTTAACATTCTTTAAGGCAAAAGTATAATAGTCTTAACAGATATTTACAAATCTTCCTCTATCCCTTTAAACAAATATGACAATCTAAATGAAAGGCATTCTTAAGAGAATTTGATGTTCTTGCAGTTTTAAAGCGTAAATCAATTTCAAAAGCAAAGTATATGTAACTTCTTTAATCATTAACAGTGTTCCACATACTCTTTACACTACAATAAAATGAACTTAAAATGACATTCTGGAAATATTTGTTTTCTGATAATAATTACTTATACGCCCATTATAGCATTCCCACATTCTTTAAAATGTAAAGTATAATATTTTTTAAAAGAGTTACAGTTCTTCTTCTATCCCTTTGAAAAATATATAAATCTATATGAAATGCATTCTTAACATAATTGTATGTTCATGCAGTCTAAAAAGCATAAATCCAATTCAGAAGCAAAGCATTTGTAACTTCTTTATTTAATAGCAGTTTTCCACGTACTCTTTAAACTATTACTCAATGAGCATGGAATGACAGTATGACATTTATTTGATGTACTTGCAGTTTCAAATTTTAACATTCTTTAAGGCAAAAGTATAATAGTCTTAACAAATATTTACAAATCTTCCTCTATCCCTTTAAACAAATATGACAATCTAAATGAAAGGCATTCTTAAGAGAATTTGATGTTCTTGCAGTTTTAAAGCGTAAATCAATTTCAAAAGCAAAGTATATGTAACTTCTTTAATCATTAACAGTGTTCCACATACTCTTTACACTACAATAAAATGAACTTAAAATGACATTCTGGAAATATTTGTTTTATACGCGCAATATGGAATTGCCACATTCTTTAAAATGTAAAGTATAATAGTCTTAACAAATAATAACAGTTCTTCTTCTATCCCTTTAAAATATATTTTAATCTATATAAAAATGCATTCTTAACATAAGTTGATGTTCATGCAGTCTAAACGCATCAATCCATTTCAGAAGCAAAGTATTGGTAATTCTTGTAATCATGTTACTTTTTACACACACTCTTACACTACTATAAAATGAACTTAAAATGACATTCTGATAATATTTTCTGATACGCGCAATATATAATTCTCACATTCTTTAAAATGTTAACTATAATAGTCTTAAAAAGTAGTAACAGTTCTTCTTCTATCCATTGAAAATATATTTCATTCTATATAAAATACATTTCTTGACACAAAATCAACCCTTCGGCATGCCAAATTCGTAATTTATGGTTTTAATGATTAATTTAAATAGTTTGTTTTTAGAATGTTTCAGTTAAGATTGTCTTGCTTATTAATTGAAATTAATGATAGTTGCCATAATAATTGTCAGTTGATCACTTTTATTTGAATTTCAATGTTGATTGCCTAGACTGTTTTAATATATTATTGTATAATTGCTTTTATCATGTAATATACATTGTAAACTGTTGTAACCATTGCAATTCAGTCTTTGGACTGCGAGCATGGATAATTATCAATTAAATCCTTCAATCAATCAATCAATCAATTAACATAATTCGATGTGCATGCAGTTTTAAATCGTAAATCAATTTCAAAAGCAAAGTATATGTAACTTACTTAATCATTAACAGTGTTCCACATACTCTTTACACTACAATCTAATGTACTTAAAAAGACATTCTGATAATAATTTCATATACGACCAATATAGAATTTCCACACTCTTAAACTGTACAGTATAATAGTCTTAACAATTACTTTCAGTTTTTCCACAATTTCTTTAAACTATAAATCAATGAACATGAAATGACAGTCTGACAATAACTTGATATACTCGCAGTTTCGAATCATCACATTCTTGAAAGTGTAAATTATAATAGTATTAAAGGTAAAGACCAGTATTGGCAACGCCCCAATTTCAAAAAATGAAATGGAAGCTCTCATTACCAATCATGTGAAAGAATATGTTTTGACTAATACATGATGATAAAAAATTTGCCGGGAAACCGCCTACTAATTCATATATTTGGTAAATTTATTTCTCTCATGGTCTGGTGAGAGAGATAGGGTAGTCCCATATACATCTTTCTGTGTATAGTGCTTGTAACTTTACGAAGAATGAGCCAAATTTCTTATCATTTTGATGATTCCAGAACCTTGCAGATGCTAGATGCTAGATGATCGACCTTTTCTGATCGATTCCACAACGTTTCTTTCACAATGCAATCGCATGACCATTACTGGTCTTTACCTTTAAAGATAAAGTTGAGTTCTGGTCATGCGATTACATTGTGAAAGAAAAGATGTGGACTGGATCAGAAGAGGTTGATCATCTAGCATATAAGTATTATAGTGTACTGCAAGGTTTTGGAGTCATCAAAATCATAATAAAGTTGGCCCAGTCTTGGTAAAGTAACGAGCACTGTACACAGAAAGATGTATATTTGACTTCACAAATGGTGTCTGGGCTAGTTTACCTTGATTTTCTTGTCTTTCTATGCTCATTACTCAGCCAGTATACATTTTCTACTAAAATTGTTTCGCAAATGACATTTATTTGAAATCTTAAACATTCAATGTAAGTTTCGTTTGATTCTGTGCGAATTTTTATTTTTGTTATTTTTTTACCAGAACTCAAATTTATCTTTAACAAGTATTTACAATTGTTGTTCTATCCCTTTAAACTTTATTTCAATCTATGTACAATACAGTCTTCGGAACATGTGATGTACTTGCAGTGTAGAACCTTAAATCTATCTAAGAAAACAATGTAAATTTACATTCTTAAACAGTTTTTTTACAGTTTTCTACATACTCTTTAAACTATTATTAAATGTACATGAAATGGCATTCTGACAATATTTTGATGTACTTGCAGTTTCGAATGATTACACTCTTAAATGTAAGTATACTAGTCTTAACAAATATTTACATTTCTTTCGTCATCCTTTTAAACCATATTTTAATCTTTATCAAATGCAGTCTCAGCAAAATGTTATGTTCTTGCAATCTAAAAGCATGAATCCATTTCAAAATCAATGTATATGTAATTTCTTTAATCATTAACAGTTTTCCATATACTCTATTGTGTTAGCAAAGAAAATAATACTAAGCTGGAAGAATTGTTGAATGTACTTTAATCTTTAGCCTATGTTAGGTTCATTCAATCATTGAGTTATTAATGTACAAATGTATTACTATTGTGGAAATAAAAACCTCGCCTGAGGATAAGAGAAAAAAAATACTCTATTCACTACAATTCAATGTACTTAAATGACATTCTGATAATTATTTCATGTACGCCAAATATAGAATTCCAATGTTCTTTAAAATGTACAGTATAATAGTCTTAACAAATATTAACAATTCTTCCTCTATCCCTTTAAACGATATTTCAATCTATATAAAATGCAGTCTTAGCAGTGTAGAACCTTCAATCGACGGCACAGTATTGAATTATCACAATCAGTAACGTATAATAGTCTTAACAAATATTAACCATTCTTCCTCTATCCCTTTAAACTTTAATTTAATGAACATAAAATGACAGTCCGACAAGAATTAGATTTACTTGCAGTTTTGAATTATAACATTCATCAACTGTAAAATTAAACAGTTCTAACAAATCTTCAAAATTCTTCCTCCATCCGTTGAAACTATATTTCAATATATAAACAATACGAACTGAACATAACTTGATGTTCTTGCAGTCTAAAAGCATAAATCCAGTTAAAAAGCAAAGCATACGTAACTTCTTATGTTATTTACAGTTTTTCACATTTTTCTGTACACTACATTTCAGTGTACATTGAATGACATTCTGATAATAATTTCATGAACGTGCAGTATTGAATTAACACATTATTTCAAATGTAAAATATAATAGTCTTTAAACATCTTTACTTTTATCCATCCATCCTTTTGAACTATATTTCAATATATAACATGCAGTCTTAACAAAATTTGATCAACAGGCAGTGTATAATCTCAAATCTATGTAAGAAAGCAAAATATATGTAAATTCTGATATAGATAAATACCCTCACAATGTCGCATAATAACTTTTGTACAGACTGCATTATTTATGTTTCATCTTCACCATTGCGATTTGCCTCCTGCTTTGAATGCCCTTTTAAGCAAACCAAAGATGGAATTGCAGTTATGATTATAAAGTAATATTGCTTTCAGATATTTGATTAGAGTTATGGACTACGGTAGCAATAAAACAAAATTGTTGCCGATTTGAAGAGGAGATGTTAGACCATTGATAAAAAATTCCTGATATGAGTGAATGGATAGTTATGACCAATTAAATATTTTGATCATTTGATCAATAATATTTGATGTGATATTACAACAAAGTGTTTTATCCCAATTTGTCTGATTTTGTATACACAAGTGAATGGCGTGTTGCCAGATTCTTAGTAGTATTTTGTTTGTGAATAATTAACAATGTAACCAAAACCACACATAATTGGGTATTATGTTTATTTTGGCAACTCCCCTTTAGATGCTATGATAATAATGAAGATGATAATAATAATATCATTACTACTACCGATGGTGATAATAACAATACCAATAAAAATGATGATGATGATGATGATGATGATGATGATGATGATAATGATAATATTAATAATAATATTGATAATTATAAGGAGAAGAAGTTGAAGCAAGAGAAGAGGAACAAGAATAAGAAAAGAAGAAAAAAAGAAGTACAAGATGAAGACAAAAATGATGATGCAAATGAAGAAGGTACAGCCAAGTTCTTCTAAAATTCACTAAAGTCAAGTGTTCAAGCAACTTTACCACGACACATCTTATCCAGCTTATCCTGTATAACCTGCATTTGCATTTTAAGTTGCTCGTTACTGCTGATTGCTTCCTGATGTAGTGTATCAGCTTTAAGGGTATTGGCATTGATTTTATTCATCAGGGCATCAATCTTCATATCGGTTGTCTTCCTGTACGGAATACGCCCCTCCTGAAATGTAATAATGAATATTATATTTATCATTGGATGAAAACTACATTTAAAACAATGGAAAAGAAATTTCTATCCCTTAAGTGAGTACTTTCAAACGCTAACAGCGTTCGTCGTTGGCGTTTAGATAACTTCCACACAATTGAGTTGAATACGTTGGAGAGAATGTGGTGGCCCCCGTCCCTAGAAATAGTGTTGCCTATGTTGATTCTTATTTGTATAGGATCCCATATCTATCTCTTTGGCTTGCGGTCCTCTTTGGACAATATTTTGTACTTGTCTAACGCCACCAACGACGGTATTAGTCTGACGAAAAACGCTTTTAGCGTTAAAGTGTTTACTAATTGATCGTGTAAAGAGAAGTTTTTAACAAATACACTACCAACCAGAAGAGCTTTTTTTCAGGATACGTTATTTTGTAATAAAAACATCAAAAGCTTTGGCTTTCTCTGTTTTATCGGATCTTCTTGCCAACTTTTGAGGTGACACAACCTTTCGTAAAGACATATTCACAGGAAAAACTAAACATGATAGTACTGTTTTCCCTAATCCCCAAGAAATGCTACCAACCAATTATAACTATCCTTTTATCCAGCGAGCTAAATTTATCCCATTTTACATTAAGTATCCTCTAGCTATTCACCGTACCGGGACATGACGAGATGGTTTTTAATTTTTGGTTAAGCAATGAGGGTAGAAACACCAAGGATATTACCGTATTCCCCAGATCATCTACAATATTAACAACTAGTCTCAAGTTGTCTCTTATCTGGCGAGTTAAATTAATTCCATTTTCAATAAAGTATACACTGTAACCGGACAAAGCGTTATTGATCTATAATCTCTAGATCATAATTATTGTTTTAAAAAAGTGAGGGTACATACAAAACCAGGATATTACTATTTCCCTTGGATCCTTTAAAAATTATCACAACTATTAACAGGTTTCCTTGTATCTAACGAGTTAAATCAACCACACTTTGTATTAATAATCCACCTTCATTTACGGGTCATGTATAGCTTCATTGCTTTTCAATCATAAGATCATATTAAGTTTAGCTATAAAGGGTGCAGAACAAAACATTAAAACAATTAATTACTATTTCGTATTAAAGGGGTAAGGAACAAAAAGTAATCACTGTTTTCTCTAGATGCTCTAAAATTGTTTCTCCCTTGTCATTTAGCTTTCCTGTATCCAGGGAGTTGATTAATCAAGCTTTACATTACTAATCCACTTAGAACGTGCGTTATAGTCTATAATCACAAGATCATATCAATCTCTTTTTAAACGATGAGAGGTGCAGTACAAAAAAAAAATTGCGGTATATTTATAGATCGTAATAATAGTATATGCCATTTTTATAGCGCCCATATCCGCCAGGAATGATGCTCAAGGTGCTCCAATATTACCCTTGCTCTGCTTGGCTACCGTTTTAGGTGCTCACAGCATTGAAGTAAATGATTCCTAACGGTACTAATTTAGCACCTGGGCAGAGAGTGGTAAAAGTAGATTGGACATTCGTGTCGTGGCGGAACTCAAACCGCAAACCATGTGATCCACAGTCAGACGACGTATCCTCTATAGACCACGACACGTCTGAAGGGTTAATAACACCAGAAAATTACCGTTTTTAGATTAATTTCCAGAAATGTCTTCAAGTCATTATGTGTGTCTTCATAACCAGTGAGCATGTAGTAGACGGCTTTGAATGAGGTGACATTTTGGAAGACTGTTATCGTTCGGTGTTGGAATACACTACTCTTCAACCTCCCCAGAGACATGTCATTCTGCATGGCCATGATTCCTTCCGCCTACAAAACACATCAAATTTCAAGTTTCACGTTTATTTCCTCTCATTAAAAGATAGCAAGAAGAACATATTATATATATTACATGAGTTATAAACACCTACACATACATAAATACTTGTAATAATTACAACATAACCAACAAAGTGGGAATGGAATTAATTGCATCAGGATTGGAGGAATCTGCAGAGGCAAATGTATCGTCAAGGACTAGCTCCATGTTTAAGTTGAAATAATAATTGATAACAATTGAAGGGACAAGGGAGAAAATATTTAATTATACAAAATAAAAAGTATAGTACTACACAGCTTATGAATGCGTACATTTATTTCAGGCATGTTATAAGAAACACTTTGAATTTCATTTAAATTAGGCGTATGAAGTGTATAGAAATGAGGTCAAAATGCTAGAAATTACATATTTGTCTTCAATGGCGTAGCCGGGGTCACCCCCCCCCCCCCACACACACACACACACACACTCCCCTATGAATGGAGGAAGAGGATAAATAAAGATAAAGAATGGGTAAGGAAACGTGAAAAGGGGGTCATGCTACCTATGATAACATGATTGCCTCAAAAAGTACAGTATGCATTGATGAGGACAGCCTTGCTGTCAAGAAGGATATCATTGTTAATACATTATTATATTTCATAACCCTTGTATTCCCAATCCTAAACCTAAATGTGGCCTTATTCTCACGTATATCATCCATCACATGTTTGCGCTCCTTTCCTAAGAGGCCACATTATCATTGAATGAACACACAATTTGTAGATGAAATACACTGTTGGTCATAAAGGTGGAATAATTATTTTTTACCCCACTTTATAGAATGATTTTGACAATGATTTATTTCTTATAGATCTAGATAATAGGATACATTCTCAGATTGTATTGAATAATAATGTGCGAGTGTTTGTTTTGCGTGACTGCTAAATTATATGTGTGCAACTATGCTATTTCAGACTGGTTTGGCAGTGTACGATATTGATGTCAAACACAAAAAACAAAGAAAATTCAATAAATAATCAATAATTCATTGCATTTTCCCCCGGTATCCAACAAAAATAAATCCACTGCAGGGCCATGCATTATGATTGAAGGCATGACCACACAGAGGATTTTTTTTTCCTGTTGTGTATCGACGAAAAATACGATGAATTATTGAAAATTTATTGCATTTTCTTTGTTTTGTTTGTACTTGTGGGGGCAGCCCCGTAACCTAGCCCTCGCTGCGTACAGTCATGATTCAGTGGCTAAGCAATAGCCTCGTTACTGTGAGGCCCCAGGACCAAAACCATGTCGATTTGTTATAGTAGTGCCCTTTTGTGAGGCATTAATTATCATTATTGTCAGTTATGACTTAAGGACGTAGGTCCCCTAGTTGATTAGCATAGTTGCACACATGTGCTTGAGCAATTACGCAAAACAAACACTCGCAAAGCATTATTCAATAAAATCTGAGAATGTATACTATTATCTAGATCTATTAGGAATGAATCATTGTCAAAATCACTCCATAAATTGGGGGGAAAATAATTATTCCACCTTTATGACTAACGGTGTACTTTCTTTGTATTAGTGGACAAAGTCGACCAGTTGTTGGGGGGTATATTTAATTCAAATAGTTGTCATTTCCAAGTCATTCAATAATGTTAACGTGACTAACAAGCAGCATTACTTTTGAAAAATAAATACATCAACAGTAGGTTGACCTGTCAAGAGTTCCCCAATGTTTTTTACCACACTACTTCGTATTGAACGTTGAGGGCGATATATTAATCGTGCGTTATAAGTCGTTTTCTGCGTATTTACATGTAAATAGTTTCCGAAGTTGTGTATGGAATATAGCAATAAAAGAAACAATAGTACCTTTGCCAATTAACGTGATCAATTTAGCCTTAGAAATACAAATGTTGTTAATTATTATTATTATTAGAAAAAGAAAAGACAGCAGAGAAAACTTACCTCAATTTTCTGTTTAACAATCTTGGCCTTTTTCTGAATGACGTCAATATCATATACTGCCAAACCAGTCTGAAATGTTAAGCCAAAGAAGGATAACATTTTCAGACAAAAATCAGTCAATATGTTAATAAAGTACCCTTTTACTTCAAATGTCTTGCTCTTTCAAACATATTTTGTTTTATATACGCGAACATGCCCCACCCCCATAATCTTTCCCCCAACAAACCTATTACATACACGTAAAAACACACATGCAGATATTAAAGTAACAATGCAATTCGAATATTATTCTCCTTACCAGGAGGTTCATGACGACGATTGGCATGGAAAAGAGAAAGATGATAAAGATAACATGCGTAGTGTGAGGGTAGAAGACTACGCTTGTAAAGTCCACATCAGCAGACGGCTGGTACAAGTAATCCATGGGATGAAAGACGGTATCAAAGTCTAATTCACCGGTAAGCATGGTCACAGACTTAGCTAAGGAGTCCCCAAATGTGTGATACTGCGTCTGAGAATCGAAATAGTAAAAAGTTGATATTAAGAAGAATTCTACAATACACAAACATGGCATACACATGTTATACAAATTTATCCGACAATATGTACTATTATGCTGCTGTGACGCTAACATCCAACGCCTTTTTAATGTGAAATCAGATATTGCTGTTATTTACATCTATACGGCCTGTACACACAATTCGCCGTAATAATGCTCGTAATATCTATTTTTTGAAGACTATATAAATATGAAATCCTTTGCGGCCTAAAACTTATAACCGCAGCTTTTACCGTAGGTTCCTTCATATTTCAATTTCCTCTTAGTTCAAATTTTAATTTAGCATTGCATGCAAACTAATTGTTTTAAGCTACTTATTTTCTGTTTTTTTATTTGACCATAGCATTCATGTTTATTAATGCAACTTATTTGGTGTAAACATTGTAAATTCTGAAAAAAATTCATGCGAAATATCAAACAATATTTTGAAACTTAAACTGATATATCCTGATGTTGTTTTGAGGGAGTTGGTTGGGCGTAAAGCTTCATGTCCATCGATCGCAGCACACCAGCGTCGATATGCTGCTGAACTCTAGCAAAAAATGAAGTGGTCTAGTGAATAAGTCACCGGACTGTAGATTACAAAGCACCAGTTTCAAATGCCAGTTCTAACATTTATTTGCTGGGGGGTTACTCGCCTAATACGTTATACGGAAATGTGCCGCTCTAATGTGTTACTTGTTTTGCAAACAGTTCCTAAACATGGGGCATTATTTTGTGCTGCCAAATCCCTAAAAGTACCCCCATGTTTCAGATCTTGGTCTTGGTAGAGGCGTAGTGGATAATTCACCCGACTGCAGATCACAAGGTCCGGAGTTCAATTCCCGCCGTGGCACCAATGTCCTTTGGCAAGACGTTAATCTACATTTGCAACTCTCCACCCAGGAGATGGGTAAATGGGTACCTAATATACTTCAGCGCTTGTTACTTTGACAGCTCGGCTACAACCAGGATAATATGTGTACAGCGCCATGAGCGTCAGAGCCTGGTGGATATCGGCGGCGTCTATTTTTTTCGAACCACTAATAATAATAATAATAATAACAATAATAATAATAATCTTTCAAAGTCCACTCCAAATTGTATTAAGTTAAACCGAAAATGGAAATTCTTTTTGCCCAATTGATCGTAAGCCCTGCAGCCACTAAGCATGCAGCGCCAGATCGACGTTTCTCTATCCCTTATTGTTGAACGCCAGACAAGGTAGCAGCAACTCCAATCTGTTAACGTCTTTTGGTATTAAACATGGGGTAAGCCTACTATTTTCTTCAGGATAATATCTATCCCATAATCTCGCTGAAATGAAAGTTCTAGACTCGTTTTTTTTTTCTTCATCCAAAGTCCTCTGTGACTTCTGTCTGTGTAAGCAATAAACGAAGAATCACAACTTAGCCTATGGCACTATTAACTTCCAGGTACAACTTTCTGAAAGCAGCAGGAAAATTAAAAGCAGACTCAAATGCACACTATGCAGAATAGGGAAGTACCGCAAGCTACGTTAAGCTGCGAATTGCAATTTCGAATGCCCGCCAATCATCGTGTGTTGCCTTCAATTGTCGCTGACGAATCCGCTAGCGACCGCAGACGGCTGAAATTATCAGTCGCGTCCGTCAGCCAATTACCAGCATGTTGAACATTTTGTGGCGGCAAAAGAATTCGTTGTGAATCCATTCAGATTTCGTTGAAGACCGTAACCCTCATTTCCTTGACGTTTTAGCGCTTAGAGACTTCGGTGGTTAGTGCTTTATAAGTAACGTTTTTATTATTATTTTTTATGCCGTGTGTTTCCGTCTCTAGTCGTTCTGAGATCGTCACAATGTCGTTGGTAGTCGTTGTTAATGACCAATGGCGGCAAAACAACCGGAAATGACGTCACATCTCGAACCCTGATGACACCTTGCGACAAGTAACGAAATTGTAACGACATTGGTGCGACGATGGATTGCGAATTTCGGACGGAGGGTGGTGGATGATGGTAGTTAATGGCGGTCGTTTGCGAGTATCTGCGGCATTGCAACTGTGGTCAAAGATGTAAAACTCTTATGGCGATTTTTCTCGTTTTATGACGTCAGTTTGATTGAGTGGATGACTAGAAAGTTGTGTAAAGTGGGAACATCAAACTCGACTATTTATACGACCCGCACGCACACATAGGATTTGATTCCGGCCGCCGAGTCACGTCATCGTCGCCGCAATCCACCGCCATCCCTTGCCGCCAGTCACTCTGCTGCCAGCCATCTGACCTGGTTCCTTGTTGCCGGGATCCGTCGAGACATCGTCACTCGCCGCCCAGACAACGTCCGATTTTGGTCGCTAGACTCCGTTACCTCCGCAGCCATTCGTCCCTTGCCTTCGTGTTGTCGATGTAGGTCGTTCCACTCGTCAGCGAATCTTGGTTTTCCCCTTTTGCCGTCGCTTTGCCGCCAACATTTTGTGTTTTTCAATTCCGTCGCCTCTCGCGGGGTCTTTGCCGCTAATTTGTGAGCCAGCCTTTAGAGACGCGCCGTTAAATAGAGAAAGTGGGATGTTTTTAGATATGGGTTTAGACGCTTCAGCTGCTAACCCCCGTCCAAACCAAATCCGAGTACCAGCCCCTCACCCCCTCCAGGTCAATCTGCATTCACAACTCTCCACACAGGAGTTACATGAGTTGTTGTTTGCTCAGCATTGTGAGCGTCTGTAAAATCGCGCCTGGCTGGAATGTTACCAAAGGAGTGGAGAATGTACACATATTGCAGTGCTGGCAAGCCTACATCCGATGACCGGGGTCATAATATATCTGTGAAACGCTTAGAGACATCGTTGATGTAATAAGCGCTGAACAAACACGGAATATAAATGAAACACTTATAAAGCTCAAAATTCATTGAAATGTGTTGGTCTCTATAGCTGCTACGCATTTTCATGAGATCTATTTGCCAATGAAAGAAAAGACAATGGGTACGCGCATGAAAAAGAGGTGCGCAATATTATACAGATATTGACTGGCACGGGGTGTAATAGAACATTTTTTTTATCCCTGAAGGGAGTTATATTTTCCCAAGTGGTTATATTTCTTCGAAGCGCGCAGCGCGGAGGGAAAATATGGTCAAAAGGGAAAATATAATTCCCTTCAGGTTAAGGAGGGGGGGGGGGATCCATTAAATTTTGCCCGAATTTTCTTCCAATTTTTTTTCGAGCACAAAAGAAAAATAATAATAATGTGAGAAAGAAAAATTACGATATCAAACAATTTATTTAAACAAAATATTTTGAGGGAAAAAACAGTGGGGTAAAAAAAAAATCAATTGAAAAAAATTTCCCCAAAATAAAAGGTTGATGAAAAAAACATGGACCCTCCCCAACAACAACAAATTGCCGAAAATTTCGAAATGTTGGGTTATCTTTGAAATTGACATGCATGTAAGAAAAATATACTAATTTTCGCGGCCTGTCAATATAATAACGTTATATTGACTGGTTCGGTAATATAACAATTACAATCCACGCAAATAATGTTACGTCACGAGCTCTGGACCAATCACATCTCGGTATCTGTCTAAGCTATCTAATATAATTCACTTTTGTATGCGTTATACCGTAAAAAAAATGGGTTGTTATATTGCATGTTCGTGCATATATAATAAAATGTAAATTGTCATGTGACAGTTTCAACCAATATGATACTCGCTAACAAATACCCTGTTTTATTTGAGTTGTTGAGTGTTACGTGGCAGCTTCTTAGCCAATACGATGATCTCTAACAAAGACAATATTTGATATACCTGATTGATGATAAGGATGCAGAAAACCACAGCAAAGGTGCAAATAAAGATTCCAGCAACAAGCAAAAACTTTAACATAGTCGATATAACCTCTGTAAAACAATAAATAGAATAAAACAAAATTACACTGACTTTCCAAAGATAAACACTAAGTCAATGTTAACACACTATTTAATACCATGTAGAAATCAATCTCAGATTAAATATATTTTGTCTAAAGAATGGAGAGAAAAAATGCAATGACAATGGATTGACCCTTCAATCATTTATTCAGATAGGAGCTGCGAAAAGAAAACTTCACTCCAAGAAATATTTTAAAGGTACTATGTCCCATTTGCAGGCCAACAAAAAAGAACAGGTTAAATTCCAACGGCATTTGAAAGATAATACTAATTTAGAACTTCTCTAAACAAAAAAAAAGGGGGGCTTGACAATTTCTTTAAGTGGGAAAATAACGACTATTAGTTGTCGAATCAACTTAGGAGCTATAGAGCCAATAAGTAATAGTCTGATTTTTCAGACCATTGTACCGAATGGTCGTATGTTTTGTGCTGCGCAAAGATTCAATCAGTTTAATTTTGGCCATTACAAGAAGTGGGTTATTGATGTAGACAAATGGTCATGTACCCTTTACAGCTCATTTTATGTATGTTGTTACCAAAGATGAAAAAAGCCAGTAAGTCATCAATGGTGTCTGAAAGTGAAGTTTAGCAAGTAAACGGGTTTCCTTGCATAATTTGAATATTACGACACTGCTCAAGTTTTAAAAATATTGTGAAACTTGTTCATAAAGACCAAACAGGGGAGACAAGAAAATCGGTCTTAATAGGCAGGTGGTCTTTATGCGCAGGTCTTTATGTACAAGTAAAGTTTCAATGATAAATACCATCAAATGAATACAGAAAATGAGGCCTTTAAAGACTATTGGACCTTCTTTACAGGTTTTCGCTTACACAGGTTTCACGAGGAGGCGTGATGGCTCGGTGGTAGAGCAGTGATCTCGTAACCGATAGGTCCCGGGTTCGAAACCAGGTTGATGCGCTCGGGTCCTTTGGTAAGGCCTTCAGTCCCTTTGAGGGGACTTATCCCTAGTTTCTTAGCAGTCTGTTAAACAACAATTAACCATCAATAAGAAACTGTAATGTTAAATGTAAATGTTATTGGTACCTATAAACATGAGAATGTAGGTGCCGACGAACGGAGCAGTTTTCAAGAAAAACATGAAATTAATCCAGGCCAAGAGAACAGCATATGCACCTAGTTCCCATTGCCAGTCCTGCAATAAAAGAAAGAAACACAAATAAAGATATTTGGTTGAGCTCTTAGAATCGTTTCAGTTAAATCCATACTGTACGAGAAGCACCACCGCAAAATCCCCTCTAGCGCCATCTCACGTCAGCTGTAGCAGTATGGTCCCGTTACTCGCTACTTTCCTAGCTTTCTGTGGTTTTAAAATTAGGTATTAGATTACGCACTGTTGGAGTCTTGATCTTGAGATGGCGCCGTGGAATAAACAGTACGCTAGGGCAGAAAAGTCATCAGTTCAATAGTACTTTAAAGGAAATGACATATTTAGGCAATTGTTTACATTGAATAAGGAACATTATAGACATTTTACTATATACATATTAAAGATATAATATATTAATCAATTCAAGTAATTGTTTTTAAAGATGTGTTTCATTTCAACCATTTATCAATTTAATGAAAATAATAATGAATTGATTTAGTTTTGTTTAAGCATGGCTATTTTTTGCCTTTTCGTGTAATAGCCATTTCAAAGGTAATGCAAAGTTTTGGGAAATTTTGACAATTGAATTGATAGTAATTCTTTAAAATGTTGATATATTTGGATGACCCTGTGGATGTATTATAATCACTAGAATATTTAGCCCCTAAAACACTTCTGCTTTCGAGAAATTGAATAATCAAACATTTACCGGTGCTGCCGGTAAATTTCAAATATTTAAAATAGCGCCTAAAGCCATTCCATGATAGCTGCGACCATGACAATCTCAGAATATGCAGTTATGATACATAATTTCAAAACTGGAATAGGAAATTGGTCGATTGTAGTCTAAAAACATTGTTTTGAAGCTACAGAAATATCAGTCTTGATAGGGCGCTTTACAACATAAAGAGTTAATTATTTACAATTTTATCACTTTAGACTCGATTTCAACCGCATCAATGATTATTGAATATTGTAAAATCGCATGTTTCTAATATGTTCATTTGAACCAAAACTTTGTAATACCTTTAAAGGTTATACAAAGTTTTCGGAAATTTTGAAAAATGGGTGGATAGTGATTCTTTACAATTTTGTTATATTTTAATTCCCCTGTGGATATATTATGATCACTAGAAAATTTAGCCCCTACAACACTTCAGCTTTTGAGAAAAATTGAATATAAAAATTCACCGGTGCTCCCGGTAAATCTTGATAAATTTTAAATAGCGCCTACGGCCGCACAATGGTAGCTGCGACCATGAAAATCAAAGAATGTCTAGTTGTGGTATATTTTTTTCCAAACGGGAATAGCTAGTCGGTCGATTTTAGTCAAGAAACATTGTTTTATAGCTTAACTAATATCTTCATTTCATTTCATTAATTTCTTTATTTTTCATTTAAAAAAAAATACAATTCATAATAACCAGTACAATGTAAAATGTATACAAAACATAGTTACATTTGTAATAAAGAAATCTTAATTTATACATTTGAGGAAGACAAAAATTGAATTTTTAAATTTAACTGCATTTATATTTTGATAAAGTGAAGAGGTCCACTAAAAAACAGAGCTTGTAAATTGCGGACCCCTCAGATAATAATGAGTGTGAAAAGAGTACGGAATACATAATCAATCAAGAGAAGAATAGCGGCCAACAGAGACGTTGAATAAAACACGTAATAACTGTAAACAAGAAGACGTAACAAATTACATGACGAAGAAAGAACAGAAAAAAGCAGAAGAAAAAAAAAAGGGGAAAAGGAAAAAATGTGGGCTGCGTTTGGAGGGAAGGAAAAGAGAGAAAATGAAAATTGAAGAGATCGAGCACGAAATATAGGGAGCTATACAACATAAGAGTTTATTATTTACAATTTCATAACTTTAGACTCGATTTCAACCGCGTCAACGATCACTGAATATTGTAAGATATCACATATGCTTCCAATATTTTCATTTGAACCAAATTCATGACCCCATACCAAAACTTTGTATTGCCTTTAAACTCAATATTTCTTAGATTCTTAGATTTGATGAATGGTTGATAAGAATTAAACTGTTGTAAAAGTTCCTCATATTAATTTATATATTTTATCACTAATCTACAGATGTAGTAGTAGTATTAGTAGTAGAAGCATTGGCGGCAATCATGGGGTGGACAGGGGACATGCCCCCCCCCCTCCCTCCAAAAAAAAAAAAAAAATCCTGAAGCTCAAGTATTGCACTGTGTAAGATCAAACCCTGTGTCCCATTACTCGTGACAATCACCTTAGTCACGTTTTGTATAATGCGAGGGCAAGTCTTATTACTTGTTGAATTTTAAATAAAGTGTATTGAACTCCACCTGCAGGACCAGACGGTCTAAGAAGCTAAAAATGCAATTTGTGCATTTTGTCCTTATCCAGCCATGGATGATACATCAGTTAGCCGAGCAGGTGTAGCAAAATTGTTGAAGAAACTGAAACCACATAAAGCTACTGGGCCAGACGGCATCTCTGCTAGACTCCTCAAGGTGACAGCTGATCAGATTTCACCTGCCATTAGTTTGGCTGCTTTTCCTCATATACATCAATGACCTACCAGACAGTGTCAAGCACTCAACCATACGCCTTTTCGCTGATGACTGCATGCAGTGGCGTAATGAGCAAAAACGTTTGGGGGGGGGGGGGGGGGGGCTGACCAAAAAAAAATCCGAATCACCCCTCTCTAACATGCAGTCCCCGCTGAACGTTTCTCAAAGTGGGGTCTAGGGGCAAAGCCCCGGCGGGGTCAAGGGGCGGAGCCCCCGAAGCTCAAAGGGTATGGGCATCAGTGGCGGATCCAGGAATTTCTTACCGGGGGGGGGGGGGCACAAAATGGCATGGGGTGAAATATATGTAAAACGATGAAGCGACAGAACGAGACTTTAACGGCGAGGGAGTGGAGCGACCAAGCAGGGGGTGGGTCTGGGAGGGGGTTCTGGGCCCTCCCAGAGTTAGAAGCATTTGCAATTTTAGAACCAAATTAGACGCATTGTCAGGCACTTCCTGGAGTAATATGACGTAAAATTGCTTTCTCCTATACCCCTTCCAAGAGTAGGGATCTTTTGCAATTTGAGAACCACATTTGGCGCAATAATGTCCACCGGCACTTCTTTAAAAAAAAAAGAGGCCTTCTTGAATTCAAACAAGATTAAAAGTAGAGAACGGTACAACGAATCGTCTTCTTTCTCTAATAATTTAATGAAACGGCAAAGCTTCCGGGCTTCGCGCGGGAGGGGATTCGTTAGAAGACGTGAGACGTTGTATAGATTATGCTTTGATGCCGCACAATGCACAAAGACGGTGGTCCGATACTTCACCGTAGTACTTGCAAAAATTATCTCGAGTGTATAAACTGTGTCGTTATCGGGGGCGCGGCTAGATCTTTTTTCAGTGGGGGAGGGGGGAGGGTGTAGAGGCCACCGATTACCGACAAAACGAGCCACCAATTACCAACATATATAAAAATGTCAATGTCGAAATGCCTACAAATTTAACCCTATAAACCCGGGGCCAGGAACTAATTTATTTTTTCAGTTCCCCCCTCCCGTCCCCCTCCCGCGCGTAGCGCGGAAGCTTTGACACTTCATTAAATTATTAGAGAAAGAAGACGATCCGTTGTACCGTTCTCGACCCTTAATTCTTGTTTCGCCCCTCCCGCGCAAAGCGCGGAAGCTATGAGGTTTCATTTAATAATTAGAGAAAGAAGACGATTCATTGTACCAGTCCCGACTCTTAATCCTTGTCTGAATTCCGTCCCCCCCCCTCCTGGGCGAAGCGCAGAAGCTTAGACATTTCAATAAATTATTACTCTTAATCCTTGTCTGAATTCCTTTTCGCCCATCTCGCGCGAAGCGCTGAAGCTTTCACGTTTCATTAAATAATTAGAGAAAGAAGACGATTCTTTGTATCGTGTTCTCGTCTGAATTTAGTTTCCCCCTCCCCCCTCCCCCGCGAAGCGCGGAAGCCTTTGCACTTCATTAAATTATTAGAGACAGAAGACGATCCGCTGTACCGTTCTCGACTCTTAATTCTTGTTTCATTTAATAATTAGAGAAAGAAGACGATTCGTTGTTAGTCCCGACTCTTAATCCTTGTTTGAATTCAGTTCCCCCCTCCCGCGCAAAGCGCAGAAGCTCAGGCATTGCAATACATTATTACTCTTTATCCTTATCTGAATTCAATTTCGCCCATCCCGCGCGAAGCGCTGAAGCTTTCACGTTTCATTAAATAATTAGAGAAAGAAGACGATTCATTGTATCGTGTTCACGTCTGAATTTAGTTTCCCCCCTCCCGCGCGAAGCGCAGAAGCCTTTGCGCTTCATTCAATTATTAGAGAAAGAAGACGATCCGTTGTACCGTTCTCGATTCTTAATTCTTGTTTCGCTTCTCCTGCGCAAAGCGCGGAAGTTGTGACGTTTCATTTCATTATAAGAGAAAGAAGACGATCCATTGTACCGGTTTCGACTCTTAATCCTTGTCTGAATTCATCTTCGCCCATCCCGCGCAAAACGCGGAAGCTTTCAAGTTTCATTAAATTATTAGAGAAAGAAGACGATTCGTTTTATCGTGTCTTTGTCTGAATTCAGTTTTTCCCCACCCACGCGAAGCGCGGAAGCTTTGTCGTTTCATTTAATTATTACTCTTAATCCTTGTCTGAAATAATTTTCGCATTTCATTAAATCATTAGAGAAAAAAGACGATTCGTTGTACCATTCTGGACTCTTAATCCTAGTCTGAATTCAATTGCCCCCTACCCCCTCCCGCGCGAAGCGCGGAAGCTTTGCCGTTTCATTAAATTATTAGAGAAAGAAGACGATTCGTTGTACCCTTCTCTACTCTTAATCTTGTCTGAATTCAATTTCCCCCACTATATGTGCAGTGTTACATGATGTAAGTATGGAACGCTCGTTCGCAAATCTGTGCATGCTCAGCCTGAGTGGTGGGTAGCATGTTAACTTCCGGCAGTGCTTTGCACAGTTTTCAGGAAAGGATTTTTTTTTACAAGTGTTACTGTTAGTGGCCACTATAAGGCCCTTAGTGACTATAAAATATATGCTCTTCCTGGTTATTTGGGAATGGGTCAGTTTGCAAGAATTAATGGAGAAACCAGCTTTTTGTTGAAAATAATGTGATATCACTAATGCTATGGTCACATTACCCAAAAGTAGACTGCTCGGCGGCCGAGCGGCGAGTTTTTAACCAATTTTGCTCGGCGGCTGCCCAGCCACCGAGCGGCTGCCGTCCAGGCACCGCTCGTTTTTAGTGCATCGCTCGGTCGCCGCTGAAGTTTTAGCGCGGAGTTAAAATTTGGGCGGCGCCTGCTCACTTTTCACTCGCCGCCCAAAATACGCTCGGTGCCTGGGCGGTCACTGCCCGGGCACCGACCTAATCGCTGGGCGATGCCTAATTCCAGCAGCGACCGAGCAGGCTACTGATCGGTCGGTCGCTGCTCTGATTTGTGACCATAGCTTAACATAATATACATCACTTGTGAAAATAAGTCATGGTTCAATTTATTTGGGGGGGGGGGGGGGCTGGCGCCCCCCCCCCCCTCCCACCAGTACGCCAGTGACTGCATGCTATATAGACGCATTAGATTAGTCCAAGATTGTACAAAGCTTCAGGAAGATCTTGACAGGCTGCAGGAATGGGAGAGAAAGTGGTTGATGGAATTCCACCCTTCCAAGTGCCAGACTCTGAGAGTCATCAACACGAGGAAACAAATCCTAGGCCTGAATAACATCCACGGGCACGACCTAGAATTAGTGAGTTCCGCCAAGTATCTTGGAATCAACATCGATCAGAAGCTCAACTTCAATAGTCATGTTGATACTTCAGTCAAGAAGGCTAATTCTGTGACCGGCTTATTGCGACGGAACTTAATTTAAACACTGTAGACGGCGGATCAAGCAGGCCACATACTTTACATACGTCCGACCAGTGGTGGAATATGCTGCAACAGCATGGGAACCCCACACACAGCGGAATGTCAACAAGATTGAAATGGTCCAACGAAGGTGTGCTCGCTACGTCACCGGTGACTTTAATCAAACCTCCAGTGTAACGGCTATGCTTGAAAACCTGAATTGGCCATTGCTACTCACCAGACGCCTTCACAGCCGCCTTGTCATGCTGTATCGCATCCGTTTCAACCTTGTCGACGTTACCTGGCAGTCCTTTCTCACTGAACTGACATCAATAACAATAGGACATGGATCTCGTTTTAGGACATTCAACTGCAGTAGTCAGACCTATACTTCTTCCTTCTTCCCAAGAACCTGCAAGGACTGGAACAACCTTCCACAGGACCCAGCCCAATACCCCTCTCTTGATGCCTTCAAGGTCTTCTTGAGTGGGATGCAGATGTAATGTCTACAAGACCGGGAATGTTTTTACGTACACATGTATATATGCACCTGCACAACAAGAACAACAAGTTAAAATGTGGAAAAGCAGGATATGTGAAAGTCTCCACATATACACACAAAACCAGTGCGATTATCTTCATCACCATGAAGCGGCACTTAACTGGAAGAAGAACAGCAGGCTTGCAACAACACGTCTATTCTATTAATACGGCGTACTCGGACCGGTTTGACCCGTACCGTAGGTAGAGCTTTCCAAGAAGGCAGATTTTCAAACGACAATATCTCCTTGATTTTATCACTATTTTGCGCTCTGTTTTTTGCAATAACATAGTAAATATCTAGAGTTACTTGATATTTAAGAATTTTCATTATACGAATCCTATAAATAATCCAATGTCCACGTTAAAAACTTTTTTTTTTTACAAAGATAAAAACTTTGAAAACAGCTCGAATTTTGACACATAGTTTTATTTTTGAGCTCAAATGAAAGTCTAACGTTTAGAATGCAATGTATTCCTCTTTCCGAAAATAAAAACATGGGGTGTTAATGTTTTAATATGGGTCAGGATCCAGCAAAATCTAACCCAACTACAATGTCAAAAACTAACGGCAGGCGCGCAAAAGCACGTCTATTTAATTAATACGGCGTACTCGGACCGGTTTAACCCGTACCGTACAGCTCTCCGAGAAGGCACATTTTCAAACGACGGTATCTCCTTCATATTATCACCTTTTTTGCAATATCATAGTAAATAAATGGAGTTACTTAATATTTAAGTATATTTATTAAACGAATCCTGTAAATATTTCAGTTTCCACGTTAAAATTTTATTTTTTACAAAGATAACAACTTTGAAAACAACTCGATTTTTGACACATAGTTTTATTTTTGGGCCCAAATAAAATTGGTGTCCAAAGTTGCGCAACACTATTGGCTTTCCCTTGCACATACAATTTATTTAATCCATGTTTAATATGGGTCAGGATCCAGCAAAGTTTGAGGGCATGCAAAATCTTTGCATAACTTTGCACAAACACATCATATTTGGTGAGAAAATCAACGAAATGATACATTGATTATTGCTCTTCAAACTTATCATGACATGTGTCGGCAAGAATCCTAGTTGGTGTTTCAGGCCAGCGGTAATACATGACGTGCATATTCAACTATTACACAACAACAAGACTTTCTACTATAAAACGCTACAGGGCCTTATGAATGAAATCCCCTCTACAATGCAGGGCCGATGTCAGCCTGCGGTTAGGCTGTTTAACTTGTTTATTTTTATAGTTCAGTCGTGATTTTCCGCGTGATTTAAACTGATTCAGAACATTGCATTACACACCAATACTTATAAGGTAGATGATCAACCTTTTCTGATCGATTCCACAACGTTTCTTTCACAATGCAATCGCATGACCAGAACTGGTCTATAGCTTTAAACACTGTCTACCACAAATTCCGAGATTTCAAGTATAAAAGAAAACAAAACAAAACAAAGCGGGGAAACATATTTATTAGTATATTTCTTATGTTAAAGGTAATACAAAGTTTTGGGAAATTTTGAAAATTGGTTGGATAGAGAATCTTTACAATTTTGTTATATTTGGATGCCCCTGTGGATGTATTATAAGCACTACAAAAATTAGCCCCTAAAACACTTCTGTTTTCGAAAAAAATTGAATATAGAAATTTACCGGTGCTCCCGCTAAATTTTGATAAATTTCAAATAGCGCCTATGGCCGTACAATGGTAGCTGCGACCATGAAAATCTCAGAATATGTAGTTGTGATATATAATTACCAATCGGGAATAGCTAATCGGTCGATTTAAGTCAAGAGACATTTTTCATAGCTAAATTAATATCTTGACCTATACATCATAAAGAGTTTATTATTTATAACTTCATAACTTCAGACTCGATTTCAACCGCGACAACGATCAACGAATATTGTAGGAACGCATATGCTTCCAATATTTTAATTTGAACCGAATTCATGACCCCATACCAAAACTTTGTAATACCTTTAATGCTAATTGTAATGCTTTGCAAAAACTTCATTTCAAATTTTTGTTAAGCCAATAATGATGCTTTTGTGATTATGTAATTTTGATTTGTGTTATAGTATCTTTCAATATAAACCATGTATACCTAATAAATCCTCTGATGAGGCAAAGAAACAAAAGAATAAAACATGAATATCGCCGAATTTTAACATTTCGACTTACTAATCAGCAGATATGACGTACTCTATCTCTCTATTTCAAGTGAATATGAGGTAGACTGAGCATTTTGTACACATTTAATTAATGATAGGCCTAAATGAAATGTTATCATATACTAACCGGTACTGGTTCATCGAATTTTGCCTTGTACATTATTGTGAGATTTGTTAGAGTCATCATAATATTCAATATCTAGATGATAACTTAGTACTCACTTACGTCTATTTCATTTATGCTTAATATAATACTGTATAAGTTTCATTTTTACAAATTACAGCCATGACATACGAGTTGCCTTTTTTGTTTTGTTTTACACAGTGTCAAAATGGTTGGACACTCAATATTTGACGAAAGTGATGAAGCACACATCTTAAATTATACCAAAACAGTGTATCAAAACGTTATGTTCGTGATAATAAATATAACAAGACAGGTACATGTAGTAACTAATGTTAAACCTAACTGTTGTTATCAAGATTCTCAATAGAATCATATCACATAATAATGGCAATAGCAGAAATGCCACCGAGTCTTTGTAATATTGACTTAAGGTATTCCCCTTTCAGGAAAAAAGATCCATTGGAATCTAGTCAATGATTCTCAGTCAAATATTACTAGAAAGTATGCACCAAATTGCGCCAAATGAGTTTTAAAATTTAATTTTCTTTCGACCACTGAGCGGGCCACGTCCCGCATCAGACACGCCCCTGTTTGCGCAAGCATATATTACTCCTTTGTGTCCGCAATAATTATAACAAAAAAGGATTGACGCCCCTGGGTAGAAGTAGAAGTAATAGAAGTAATAGTAGTAGTAGCAGTAGTATTAGTAGAAGTTGATTTAGTTTTTGTTGAAGAAGTTGTTGCAGTTATCGTTGTATAATTAGTTGTAGTATCAGTAGCAGTACTAGTAGTTGTAGTTGTAGATGTTATTGTTGTCTTTTTGTGGTGTTGTTGTTGTTATTGTTAAATTTGCTTGTTTTCTTATAATGCTTTTGATAATGATTCTATAATTATCAAAGATGAGAATGTAATACTCACGGCTTTGAAGGTAACACCATAGCCAAAATAGACATCACCAAACCCCGGTACGACGAACAGAATGATCAAGATTAGGAGAGTGAGCTCTCGGATGACACCTAGGATGACATGCATCAAGTTAGACTTTGTTTTCCTGTACATCCACTTCCTACGGAGCTGAATAAACAAAACAAAAATGAAAAGAAATTATGTTTGCGATAGTGTATTTACTTGTTTTATTATTACAGCAGTTACATAGCTTACAGTGAAAGCCCTTCTTCTGCACATCTCTTAATGAATAATTCTAGGTAGTATGCTATCATGAACATTTCCATTATAATTGTAATGACGAACATCGTCATTGCCTTGTTTTCGTTCACATTCTGCCCCATTAATATACTTATCCTTAGTATTTTCCTTATCGTCAGGAAATCGCATTCGTTTTGCACGTAGTGCTTGTTACTCCTAGTAAGGTGCTTTTATTATGTCCTTTTCCTTTCAAATTTCATAGGCATAGTCTCTAACATCTCATCAAGGTCACTACATTCTTCGATTTTCGAAATCACTCATGCATAACTGTCCAGACGCCATTTTGTCCGTTTCTGGTCCATTTTTAAGGTCTTTCTTTCTTCCTTCCTCTCTCCACTATCCTAGATCCTACAAACTTCTAAAAAATTCCTCTAGATAGTCTAAGAGATGTTCTTTCATCTGCGACGCATAAGTTGACCTTAAAAATGCCATCTTCTTACTCGAAATTTAAATCTGAAACCGACTCAGTCAAAAATCTTTAAAATTCTTGAAAAATGGACCCCTAAAAATCTAAAACTGCCATTACCTTCTCATATAAATTCCGTTTTGTATTTAAATCTTACAGTATCTTTATTTCATAATTACACATAGCCATGCTCCAATGGCTATGCAAAACATAAAAAGCGCCCTCTAAAGTTCTGGGAATTGGCTTTCTTTCTGTGGCCGTATCTCTATTGTGTCTTGGCAAACCCGTACCTTTTTTTGGATTTAGATACTTGAACATATGCCCTTTCCAGCCAAATGCAAAATTATATACCCTAACGCTGACCGACTTTGCGAAAATTTGCCCTCCAAATATGCAGTTTTCAAGAAAATTTCCAAATAACTTCAACTTGATCTAAAATGAGGATCCTTATGCGTACGTCAATGGAACTTGGCAGACACATGTATCCATATTCGTTTCAACTGTCTGCTAAGTTTAGTAAATTTTAATGACGTCAGCGCAAAGTTATCGCCAAAAATGATGAATTTACTATGCATTACGTAATAGCGCGTTTAATGCGTGTAGTACATTGCGCGCAGATGACAAAGGTGTCAAACTGACCACAATGAAGTGCCCTTTCGAATGATATCAAACACGTTATATGTAATCATATAAATATTTGAGTAAATTGCGTTTGAACAAGGGTCACTATACGAATTCTGCCGAGTTTCCGCCCGATTATAACACGTATCGGCTATGATGTAATGTTTTCAAATTACCAAATACGGCCCATAAAGAGACATAAAGAGAGAGAACAAAAAACAGTTTCCTTAAATCGGGGCTAATTCTCCGGGGGGAATTTTCCAGGGGGGGGGGGTAATTGTTCTTCGGGGGTAGTTTTTCGGGGGTGATTGCCCAGCGGGTAATTGTCCTAGAACCATTGTAAACAAAAACAAACATAACCTGGTTTGGAATTTCGCTATAAGAAATATTTACACCATTAGACGTGTTTAAAAAAACTGATTTCATTCTTCAATATTGGACATTTTTTAATTTATCTTGGTGCACTTTAACATTCTTTGTGCCAATGTTATTTCCTTTGCAACAGCCTGCCAACCATAAAAACAGTTACAAAATTTGCCGATTTTAGAAGGCCTACCAGCTTCATAAGCTTCTCAAGCCCCACTGTACAACAAACGAGACTGGCAAAGACAAAATGCATAATAAAAATAGGAAGTATTCCTGACAGGCCCGCGAGACTTATATGATCGGTGGGATGTCGGCTTTGTTGACTGTCAGGCTAAAGGGCTGTCGATCTTATGGACTTTCGATGCTATGTGCTGTTGGTCTTATGGACTGTCAGTATCGCGGGAGTTTTTTTTTTTTTGTTCGTTTGTTTATTTTATTATATATTTTAAGTATAAAAGCATAAATAAGACGCATGAATTCTTACAAATTCAATGAAATAGGTGACAGTTAGCTTCGTTTGTTTATTTTATTATATATTTTAAGTATAAAAGCATAAATAAGACGCATGAATTCTTACAAATTCAATGAAATAGGTGACAGTTAGCGCGAGAATGAGCCAGGTCCCAACTGAACCAAACAAAACCAAAGCGATCGGGTCCATGTTTTCCTTCCACTTGGCCTCTCCATCAGCCAACCACGTGTAGTTGCCCCCCGATATGTTTTCTTTAACATAGTACGGTGGAGGGATGATAAGGCTATGGACTGTCAGGAAGACTAGCAGTGTGAGTTGGAGGATGACCCGGGACCAGTATTCGAAACGAAACACTCCGTGCTTCTTGTCAAACATCAGACGAACTACAGGGTGGTCTAGTAACACGTTACTCTCATCATTTGTAATCTGAGAAAAAAAAATGCAGAATGATAATTATTGAAGAGAATCTTGGTTTTATCTTTCATTATCATTGATATGATTATTCTGTAAATATATCATAATTTTCCCACAATAACACACGCTGGTAGCTATTTTTTCTAATATTCTCCTTAATAGGGTCTGATTGCTTATTATACTCAGTTTTTTATGTTGTCAGTTTGTTCGCATTTTTTTTTAATGGGTTTTTTTTGTTTCTGCCACTCACTAATACATAGGAACAAAACTATACAACATAGGGCCCGTATCCTACTTATTCAGGTTTGAGAAAAGGAAGAATGAGACCTAAAACTTTTTTTTCGAAAGTCATTGCGATCGACTCTCATTTATAAACCCGATATTATACCCAGCGTCAGAGAAATCTGTCTGAGAAAATTGTTTCAGTTTCAGCTTCATTTTATTGATTCGTATTTGTATATATATTTAACATTTGATAATGATATCCCAGCTGCCCTAGGGCCCTCAAAACATTCAATGAATACAATTCAGGCAGGAACCCATTTACTAAACCTGGGTGGAGAGTGGCAAATGGATATTATTATTTTTCTCATCATACCATGAGTTGCACAGGATGATTTTTGGAGCGAGATGAGACATCAGTGACAAAGATCGGGGAATAAGATTTCAATTTTCCATTGTCTATGAAGTTGGAATGCACCTAAAATAATGAAACAATAATCATCATAATGTTATGAATATGCAAATTTTCTTTTAATATTCATGTTTTCATGATCGTTAGCGTTACGTTAAAATCCCCCATTGGTATTTCAAACACCTAACATAAAAACAAGATGCACAAATTGCAAATTGTTTTTGATTATTCATGTTTTAGTGTTCGTGGGAGATTGTTAATAAAGTCAATTATGTACGACGAGTTTGAGGTAAACAAAAATCACCTTGTATTTATTAATGTCTTTTATGATTTGATGTTGATTTGATGTTGGCTAGATTCAGAGGACAGCAAGGAGATTGCCAACGCAATTAATGAGCACTTCATTTCAATTTCACGAGACTTAGACCCACTAAACGCCTCCTGTCTACCTGCTTTTCTGCCATCGCCCAAACCAAGTCCAACAGTCTACCCTTGGGAGGTACAGAAGGCCCTCGCCAAAGTTAAGCGAAATACCGCGAGTGGCCCGGATCGCATTCCCTCTCGTATCATACGTGAATTCTCGTATGAACTCGCTACTCCCCTCACTCACGTGATCAACTCGTCTTTTCAACAAAATGTAGTTCCTGATGAATGGAAAAGAGCAATTGTAGTGCCTATCCCCAAATCGAACCCCCCATCTGTTGAGAAGCTTCGTCCTGTATCACTCACAGATCATTTTGCCAAAATAACAGAAGGTTTCGTCGCAAAATGGTTAATTAACGACATAGAACCCAATTTGGATCAGATGCAGTTTGGAAACCGAAAAACAATATCAACGTCACACTGTATTATTAACGTTCTACACAAAGTGTTTGTTAATTCAGACAAACCAAAATCCTCATCAACGATAGTTGTGACAGACTTTTCAAAAGCATTTGACCGAATCGACCATACTATCGCCATAACAAAACTTATCAGCTTAGGAGTTCGCCCCTGCATTGTGCCATGGATCATGAGTTTCTTGCAATCCCGTCAACAATGCACCCGTTACAGATCAGTTCTATCTGATTGGTCGATGTTGCAGGCTGGAGTACCACAGGGAACTCGCTTAGGGCCCATTATCTTTCTAGCCATGATTAATGACGCAGCGCCACCGACCGGAATCAACGCCTACAAATACGTCGACGACATGACGCTCGTCGAATGTCGCACTCGAGATGAACCGTCCAACATGCAGAGTGCCGTCACTGATCTCGCCTCCTGGTCAGAGGCCAACCACATGAAACTGAACGCCACAAAGTGTTTCGCAATGGAAGTCAGTTTCTCACGAAATCCTACTGTCCTACCCGCAATTCGCGTTGACGGTCTAGAACTACAATCCGTCAATACTATAAAGCTTCTCGGCATTCTGATCCAAAGTGACCTGAAATGGGAATCAAATGTTACAGATATCATCAAAAGAGCAAATGGAAAACTTCACATGCTACGTATCTTAAAAAGGCACTGCCTTCCAGTTCGCGATTTGTTAACCATATATGATGGATATGTTCGGCCTATTCTCGAATATGGGACACCGGTTTGGAACAGCGGCATCACCAAGAAACAATGCGAAAGCTTAGAAAAAATCCAAAAGCGAGCCCTCCGCATCATCGTTGGTGCTCGGTATACTACTTACCAGAACGTTCTTACCTGCTTTGATATGGAAACACTTGAGCAAAGGAGACATTCGCTGTGCACCTCTTTCATTGGAAAAAGTATTTCCAGGAACCAATTAAAGAACATCTTACCCCCAGATTACTCAGAAAAGAGTCCTTAGACATACTAAGAAATTACCTGAACTACGTTGCCGAACAAACAGAGTGAAGAACAGCCCCATACCATCACTTGTACGCATCTACAATTCTAGTTAACAAGAAATCTACTTTTATTTTTGTAATACTACCAATATTATAGTTGTGATGTAATCCCATAAGTGCAATACAAGGCAAACTATGGTTTCAATTACCGATACACACAAAGAATGAAATAAATTTTTATGCAATTTGTTTTTTATACATTTATATTCATATACCAATTTTATATTTATACTGGGGTCTAAGCTTTGTATCTGTATAATAGAATCACTACATTTTCTGTACCGAAGTTAAAAATCTG